CACCGGCCTGGAATTCCTTTCCTTTTTGCCCAGCTGGATGCCTTGCCGTCCGGAGGCTGCCTGAGGCAGGGCCGTGCTGGCTCCCTCCAAGATGTGCTTGTTTTTATTATCCAGAAGGTGTGTGTTGAAGGAATGCGTGGGTCCTGGGCTGTCCTCTAGGGAGTTGGGCCGTTGTCCCCGTAGCGGTTCGAGCTCAGGATCAGACCCAAGTCACCTCTGGGTTAGGATTTGTCTCTGCCTCTAGCAAGCTGAGAGTCTCCGGCCCAGTTCCTGACCTCTCTGTGCCTCAGCTTCCTCTAGGATGGGGATGATGATAGTGCTAAATGCATGTGGGGTGTTATAACGAGGATTGTCCTAGTGACTGTGGAAACCCCCTAATTTTGTTATTGTTGTTGCTGCTTCCCCTGCTGCAGGGCTTCCGGGGGTGGGAGCCCCCCCTTCCTGTTGTGATCGGGTGTCGCTGGCCGCGGGGACAGGGCCACCTGCCCTGGTAGGGGAACTCGGCAGAGGGCAAACAGGCCCGTGATGGAAGAGCCGAGTCTGTGGGTGGTGGGGGGTTTCCTCGCCTGCCACAGCCCGGGCGGGGCTGACCTTGCTCTGTGCTTCTCCTCAGGACGACACGGAGCCGTACTTTATCGGCATCTTCTGCCTCGAGGCCGGGATGAAGATCGTTGCACTGGGCTTCGTCCTGCACAAGGGCTCCTACCTGCGGAATGGCTGGAACGTCATGGACTTCGTGGTGGTCCTCACGGGGTGGGTGCTGGGCCCGGGCGCCCTCTGCGAGGGGCAGGGTTGGGCACGCTGGAGGCCCCGGCTTCGTGGTGGTCCTCACGGGGTGGGTGCTGGTGGGACGGGCATTGTTTCTCCCCAGGCGGTGCCTGGGCTGTGATCTTGGCTGAGGGGCCGTCGACGGTGCTCTGTCCTTGGGCGAAGCTTGCTCACAGAACTGCTGGTGCCGTGGGCAGGTCACCAGGGCAGGGGAGGGCTCTGGGCCTTATTCTGTAAATCCTGGGCTCCAACCTTGCCTCTGTCGCCCCGTGATCTGGGGGCCACATTTGTGCATTTGAGTCTCCTGCCTGAAGGGTTCTCGGACACGGCTTCCTGGAGCTGTGCTTGGATGAGGCTGCGCCGGTGTGTTGTCACAGTTTCTGGTTCCAGGAAGGTGCTTAATCAGTGTGTCCTGCCACCCACTTTCCTTCTCAGACGGACCCTAACAACTGCCAGCTTGTGGTTTCCGAACAACCCAGGAGATCCAGAAGTTGCCGTGGGCTGGGCTGCTTTGAGAGCAGGCGGAGTGCGCTGCTCCTCGTCACGGAGGCCCCAGCCTTTGGGGCAGGGTGCTTCCGCCGGCCTGATGGGTATTCGGGGCCTCTGCCCTGCTCCTCTGGCCAGTAGCTGAGGCTGGGGCTGAGCTGCTGTTGCTCCAGCTCTGGGCTGGGGCTGGGGCTGGGGCTGAGCGCCTGGGTGTTCACTCCACAGGACCTGTTTGCACAGCCCAGGTCCCAGAGGCCCCGCCCCGGCAGCCTGCAGCCACGCTTTCTGGGACCTTGTGGTCCCAGGGAGGCTCGGAGCCCCACTGTGGCCCAGAACACTCCTTCCAAGGGACAGGAGGCTGTGGCCAGGTCTCTGTCCTGTGCTGCATGTGAGGACAGACAGACTTGGCTAAATGGCCTCTGGGCTCCCGCATGAGGCCCCCCTCACCCGCCCCATCCTGGGGGGCCTGCCCCGCTGTCTGCTCGAACTGCCGGTGGCTTGGCCCCAGAGGTGCCTGCAGCGTGCCCGGCATGGGCCAGAGTCGAGGTGGCCTCGCCTTCAGAGGGTCTCTCCCTGGAGGTGACGGAGGGGCCGGTGGGCCTTGTGCCTCAGCTTCCCTTTCTGTCTTTGCACCAGCCTGTCACCGGCTCTGATGGGATGGGTGCCGCTGAGGTTGGATATGATAAGCTTTCTGGGCAAGTTGCTGCTTTCCTTTCATTTTTCCTAATGACCGAGAAGGAAAGGGAGTGGGGAGCCTTTTCTGCTGGGAGCCGCGCGGTTCTGCGGTACGGTGTGTGCCGTCCACACCCGCCTGCTGCCCTCGGTGGCGGTGGCAGCGGGGGCTTTTACAGAAAGCCCTCTGAGGTCCCACCGATGTTGCTGGTGGGGATCTGGTGGTGGGTGTGGCCCCTCGGAGGGCAGGGTGCTCCCACAGTCTAGTGGGCACTGTGCGGGCTGTCGAGGAGAGTCGCTTGCTGTTTACATCTCTCTCTCCCTCTAGATGTGAGTCCCTGAGGATAAGAACAGCGTCGTATTTTTCAGGGTGTCCCCAGAGCCTAGCTCTGGGAGGGCCCCCAGGAGGGTCAGGGAGCATCTGCTGAATTAATGGGCTATTGAAGCTAGGGTGCTCTGTGCTTGGGCCAGCTGGGAGCTGGGCGGGATGGTGGGACCCTGCCTCTGGGGATGCTGTCCGTGGTGCTGAGTGTTTGGACTGCTGGGAGCCAGCCGGGGAGGCAAGACCCCTGGGTCTTCCAACAGGCACGTCCTGATTCCAGGTCCAGGGAGCCCCGTCCCCCTGCGAGGGCTAGGAGAGACCTCCAAGGCTGGCTGCTCTCTCTTGCCATTGACCACACTCTCCGGGGCACAAGAGAGAATAGGATGGGCTCACTTTCCTGGGAGCCCCAGCAGGGGGGTCCCAAGGGTCCCGAGACCTTAACTCTGCCCCCAGCCCGGACTTGGAGATCCTGACCTCAGTCGTCTGTTTCTCCACCTCATCTTTCCTACCTCTCCTCGCCTGCCTTTTCTCTTCACGTGGGCCCCTCTCCTACCCCACCAACCTGTTTCTGTCTCTCTTTCC